GGTGGGCAGAAAACCGCCACGCGTCCCGAGCGCATGGCGTGCAGAATACCGCCGCGCAAAGCAGGTAACCGTCGCGCGCCTCGAGGCGCACGGTGGGCAGAAAACCGCCGCACGCCCCGAGCGCGCGGTGGGCAGAAAACCGCCGCGCGCCTCGGGGCGCACGGCGGGCAGAAAACCGCCGTGCACCTCGGGGCGCAGGGCGGGAAGAAAAAATGCCGCACGCCAGGGGGCGTGCGGCACAGAGAGTAGCAGTAGCAGTTGCAGCGGAAGCAACGAGGTGGTGAGCCCACCCAGAGGATCGATCCAAGGGGATCGACCTGCTCTGATAGCATGTCAGAAGTTAGAAGAAGGAAAGGGGTTTGAACTAGCAGAAATGGGGATACAAATAGCAAACCCTAGAAGGGTTGTACTCGCTATAGAGCACCCCACTACAGGCTAGAACATAAGAATAACATTCTGACAGGGAGCAGCACCTCCGTGACCTGGACGCAGTGTTTAAGCGGCTGCAGGAGAACCGACTCATCACCAAGGGCTCTAAGTGCGAGTTTTTTAAGCAGGAGTTGGAGTTTTTGGGGCACGTCATCTCGCGCGACGGCATTAAAATCGACCCGGCGAAAATCAAGACCATACAGGAGTGGAAATCCCCGACGAACGTCACGGAGCTCCAGAGTTTCCTCGGATTCGTAAATTACGTCCGGAGGTTTATCCCAAATATGGCGGGGATAACCGGCCCGCTGACCGACCTGCTGCACAAGGACAAGAATTTTGTGTGGGGGGAGGAGGCAGAAGTGGCGTTCCTGGAACTCAAGAATTTTCTCGTATCCCCTCATGTGCTGCGCATCGCCGACCCATCGAAGTCGTTCGAAGTTGTAACCGACGCCTCAGATTTCGCCATCGGAGCTGTGCTCCTCCAAGATTTCGGGAACGGGCTGCAGCCGATAGCCTACGAATCACGCAAGCTGCAGGCAGTCGAACGCAACTACCCGATCCACGACAAGGAGATGCTCGCCATTATACACACATTTAAACTATGGCGATGCTACCTGGTGGGCGCCGTCGTCACTGTTCGCACGGACCACAAATCCCTACAGTACCTGCGAGCCCAACCCAACCTCAACCCACGACAGATTCGATGGCTCGACTACATGGAGAGCCATTTCACCTACCGCATCATGTACAAAAAAGGGGCTAATAACATCGCCGACGCCCTGACCCGACCGACAGTACAATCCGCTACAGTACTCATCACCCACTCGAACCCGCTACTTACCGGGCTATTCACCCACGGCTACACGACAGACCCCTTCTTCACAACGGGAAACCATCAGCAGACTACGACGCAGAAAGGGGACTATTACCTAAAAGCCGGAACCGACCGGATTTGGGTTCCCGCTTACCGTCTGCTGCGTGAGCTTCTCATCCAGGAGATACATGATTCAAACCTCTCTGGACATTTCGGGGTCGATAAGACACAGAAACTACTGCACCGTCACTATTACTGGCCTGATTCCTCTAACGACGTGCAACGCTATGTGTCCTCATGCAGGGTGTGCCAAGCGATGAAGTCGACACGTCAGCGACCAGCTGGATTGCTGCAACCCCTCGAGCCACCCGAACGACCGTGGCAACAAGTGACGATTAATTTTGTCACGGGGATGCCAGCTGGGCCGACAGGCAACGACGCTGTTCTCGTCGTCGTCGACCGCTTCACGAAAATGGCGCACTTCGCACCATGCCGAACGACAATCACAGCCGAAGAAACTGCGCGAATTTTCATATCGACGGTCGTGCGACTGCACGGCATCCCTTCAGCGATCATCAGCGACCGCGACCCAAAATTCACATCCAAATTCTGGAAGGAGACATGGGCGCAATACGGCACGAAGCTACAGTTCTCATCGGCTTACCACCCGCAGACCGACGGTCAAACAGAGCGGACCAACCAGACCATGGAGCAGTTAATCAGGACAAACTGCCCCGATCCTGCCCGCTGGGAAGACTCGCTCGCAATGCTGGAATTCGCTTTCAACAACGCACCATCCAGCACGACTAATCACTCCCCATTTTTCCTGAATTATGGGATGGACCCGGCGGTTCCGACGACAACTACACTCGACAATCCGGTACCGCGTTCCCAGACTTTCGTGACGGAACTCCAGGAAGTCCGCGAAAAAGTCGCCGACGCAATTCGCAAAGCGAATATTACTTCCCGCAAATACACCAACCTTCTTCGCCGAGAACTCGTCTTGACTACTGGGCAACTAGTCCTCCTCGACACGAAAAACCTGAACCTGCCCGGCCCTGCGAAACTTCGGCCACGATTTTGCGGACCGTTCAAAATCCTCAAGATGGTGACACCTGTCACCGCGAAGCTGTTGTTGCCCGACGATTGGCGTATACATGACGCGTTCCACATCAGCCTTCTTCGGAAGTTCGTGCCTACCACGACCGACATCGCACGTCAGCAAGCGGCCCCGACAGCTCGCCCCGTCCCGGAGCCAACACTTGACCCTTCCAAGATTCTCGCTCATCGGGTCCGCCTTGACGCCGCTGGACGCCACGTGGAATTCTTAATTCGCTGGACCGACCGCACCAGTGAGGACGACACGTGGGTGTCATCCGCTTCAATGGACGCCTCGACACTTGTTGGTGATTATCTGGCGCGACGGCGTGTTTCGGCCATTGACTACCTTTCTTAAGGGGGGGGGGGGGGGGGGGGGGGTGGTGTAAGGAATTTTCCCGAATTCCTTATCGGGGTTGACTGCTTCGCGTACAACCCGATTTTCGGAGTTCGCACGTTCGGCCGATTTCAACGCAGCCGAGGCTCCTCACGTCGCCTTCGGCTTTCCCATCGCCAAACCTGCACCCAACCTCGCTCGTCCGAGGTTTCCTCCTAGCTAGAGTAGTCCTACATTAGTCTGTGCATTCATTGTATTCGCAGTTGATTCAGTCACAGCTTCGTTATTCGTCTACCTGTGCACTCTCTTTTACAACTCATAACATAGTTTCATTGCACCCGTAACATGACAGAAATATATTTTTGCTGCGATAGTTTTATGATTGGTGATGTGCGGAACTGTGGGATTACTACGCGACAGAAGCAGCGGGTGTGGTGACAGCTACGTGGTTGCTGAACAATTCAGTAGGGCAGGTGGTTCGACTCGACCAGACAACCTACGACGTTCGCCTGTCCGGTGAGGTATTTCATTCGGTTGACTGTGGCGACTCCAGCGCTGCACCAAGATTCACCCTCATGTTTCCCTCCCTTGTCGGCTTGGTGTGAGCTGGGCTGTTTGGATAACTTGTCGACATGTGGCCCCCTCCTTTCTTGTCCCCGTCCCCCCCTCGCCACCCAACCTACCCCACCCAGTTCCTCCTCCGTTTCAGACCATTGCACGAAGTCATAGATGGGAAAAACATGGGGGAGAGTATATCCCAGCTCCATAGTTTCAAAACTCTCTCAAATTTAGTCCCAAGTCTACTCAAAAAGTACAGCTTTCTAGAAGTTTGCTCACGCGAGGCCCAGATTATGTTCAAAACTGGTCCTGTGGGGCAAAAATTTCGAAACCTTTCCTATTTCTATTAGCAATTTCTGACGCGGGCAAAACAAATAAAACCCCTAGGGGAACCAGGACACACGTTCGGGAGGGACCAACCCTAAACACGGGGACCCGCTTGGTGTTTAGGGCTGATCCCTCCCGCAAATGTGCCCTAGTTCCCGAGGGGTTTTATAATTTTTTGCCCCGTCGAAAAATATTCCAAGCAAAATTGGAAACGTGTCGAGAACTTCGCCCCACAGGACCAGTTTTGAACATACTTTGGGCCTCGCGTGAGCAAAATTTCAGAAAGTGGTACTTTTTGAGTGAACCTGGGGCTAATTTTGAGAGTAATCTGAAATTATGGACCTGGAATAGGTTTCCCGAAAAACATCCTCCTTCGGATTGACGGGAGGACGTAAGAAGAATTTGCGAGTTAGGGCGTGTAAAATTGTAACGACCAAACGCTATGGTCGATCATTTGGGCGTTGCTGGCGAGTGCGAAATATGTAACACTTAAGCGAACCCCACCACAAAGATCGTCAGCATTTGGAGCACCCACCCCGAACCACCCCCTTTAATTAAAAAGGAAATGTTTCGATTCCCTTACAACATTCGAAAGGGGTGTGGAATACGGGGAATCGGAAGCCTAGACTAGAGTGTTAACCAGAGCAGTGGGTTTAGGTAAACGGAAAATAAGGTTCCACACTGAGCATCAGTTTAATCATGTCCCAAATTGCGGTGCGTAAAACTCTGTTCCTAAATTACCACGGAAAATCTGTCAGACCGGGGTGACGACTCCCATCGGCGTAACCCTAATTCCTCGCAATCGCCAGAAACGCCCGTAGCATTTGGTCGTTACAATTTGACACGCCCTTATGTCATGAATGGGCCCGTTTCAATAAAAAATTCATGGTGAATTCTTGATTGGATGCGTCCGGTGCTTACCTCAGCCTGAGGCTCCAGGTCTGACGCACAGCAGCAATCCCTGGAACCTTACCTGCAACCAGAGGCCCAGTCGAGCTGTCCATCCGTCGCCACAGGCCCAGTCGCGTGTTTCAGTCCCCAATCCAAAGCTAGCGTTCAAAGGCACAGCAGCTCAATTTCAGGTGAAGTAAACAAGATGGTAGGTTCCGTGAGCATCGGATGCTGTAAAGCTCGTGTGGGAGCTTGTGAACCCAGTAGATACTGCGTTGAGTCCGATTCTGGCGCTTTTGAGACAGTTTCATTCCAGAGAGAAACGGATTTGAGCGTAGGCGGCGGTAACGACAGAAGACGGCGTTCGCGTTTTCCACATAGCCTAGTATCGTCCTCACCGAGTGCGTATTTTTGACAATGAAGACGAAAAATGGAAAACTCGCGGTTGTGCTCTTGCTACTTCTGGCTGTCGACGCATCGTCCGAGTTGGCTCCACTTGAGGAAGCCCGGGCGCCTGTCCAAACTTTGTCTCAATATGAAATCTTTATGCAAAATACCCTGGAACTTCCGGAAGACCAGAGGCGGCAGCACGCAGAGCGCATTCTGGGAGCGGAGCGCGGCGAAATGGTGGGCGGTCGGCGCGGCGAGCGCGTCCTGCTGGACACAGGAATGAAGCTTGGGATGTCCGCGCCGCCGCTCAGCTCGGGGCCGAGCATGGCGGTGGTGAACATGTCGTTCTACCGCTGGGAGAGCGTCGCGGCCCCGCCCGTCGTCGACTGGCGGAAGACCGTCGCCATCACGCCCATCCAGACGCAGTTCATGGTGGGTACTCCGCTCGCCCCTCGCTCGCCTGGTTACGTCACTGCTACTATGCCTGTTCAGCCCCGTCTGCCCCAGGATAGGCACTCGCCGCTCCCGTCCAGATCAGGAGGCTTCGAAGCAACCTGATGTGTTACTTGGTTGCTCCCGGTTCGAGTCGTCGCTCTTTCAATATCCTGGTCAGCGTCCTCGCTGCTTAATTTTCCTCCCACCCCTTCGCAGTGCTCAAGCTGCTGGGCGATCGCAGCCGTCGATTCCATCGCCATAATGTGGGCGATCGCCAACAACGGTGTCGGGACGAATCTGTCGCCGCAGCAGGTGTGCGACTGCGCGACGAAGCAGTGCTGCCAGGGCGGGTGGCCCGAGTGGGCCTTCTCCTACGTGCTCTTCAACGGCGGCATCACGTCCAACGCCAACTACCCCTACCTCGCCTACGATTCCGCCACGTGTCTGCTCGACACATCCATGTCGTCCGTGGCACAGATCACGGGGTGGGAGCTGGTGCCGGCATTCAACGCCATGGCGCTCATGAAGGCCGTCAGCATGCAGCCCGTCGTCGCCTTCATCAGCGCCTCCGCCGCCGACTTCACCGTACGCCTTCCTGCTCCTTGCGTCCCGCTCCTGCTCCCGCTCCCCGCGCTTCGCCACTCCCACCATTTCCCGATTCCTCGCGTTTCTCTGCGCACACCGTTTCTCGATTCCCCGCGTTTCTCCGCTCATAGAGCTTCACATTTGCCGCGTTTCCCCACTCGCAATGTTTCCCAACTTATAGCGTTACCCAGCTCGAACACCGATTCCCCGCGTTTCCTTCCCTCTCGTCAAACTCTCTCCACGTGCAGGCTTACTCAAGCAATGGCGTGCTGAACATTTACAACGGGCTGTGCACGACTGACGTGAACCACGCGGTGGTGGTGGTGGGCTTTAACTACACGGGGCCGGACCTCAAAGGCAGCTATTGGATCATCAAGAACTCGTGGTACGCCACGTGGGGCGACCGCGGCTACATGTACCTCGCCATGACGCCCGACGTGCGCGGGAAATGCGGCATCCTATCGTACGTTACCCGACTCGCTCTTGACCATTGAATCTGCCTTGACTCTTCAAACGCATTCCACTCGATTCGCGTGGGGTCGTTGAGTCTGACTGGTCTCTCCCTTCTCGCGCCTCCCCCGGGCCATCTCCTGCCGACACGCAGGAGGGCCCCTTTTGCGTCTCCTTCCAGACCCTGCAGTCCCCTCTGGATGCCTTTCACCCCCGTTCCCGGCCTGCCTGTGTGCCAAACACGTTGTTTGTGCGATTCTTCTCTCCTCTCGCCTAAGTTCGTTTGTCCGATGCGGCTCTCTTCTCCACCAGTCCACCGATTCTGCTCTCTTCTCGCCACCCCTCCTTTCCGCGCAGAACCCCCGCCATGTACCCCGTCTACTTCCCATCCGGGCAGCAGCCGGCGCGCTTTGCGTCTGACAAGCGCGGCAAGTGGAAAATCAACAAAGTGGACGACCTCTCGTCGTCGCTCTTCTCCTCCACCCTCTCCCTTTCAACCACCAGCATCAGCACCACCACCACCACAACTACTTCGTCGACTGACTTCTCTTCATCAACAGACTTCGCCATCGCAGCTATCACCGTTCCGACGATCTCCGATTCTTCCTCGCTACTCATTGGTTCCACCACTGATTCGTCTGCGACCAAGACGACCACGCTGAGTACGACGTGCGTCGGGATGATCAACCCGTGCGGCGGGGGCAGTTGTTACATCAGCGGCGGGATTCCGCGGTGCAACTGCAGCGCGATGGCGAATATGGTCGAGGTGTTGGGAGTGCCCACGTCCAAGTGCGTGCCGCGAAGTCCCTGCACGACGGCTTCTGTGAATCCCTGCGGCGGCGGAACGTGCACGGATGTGGGTGACGGGACGTACACGTGCGCGTGCTCTGCTGGTTACGCCATCGGCGCTGCTGTCGATGGTTCGCCAACGTGCCTGCCTGCGGCTGGACTCGCGAAGTCCTATGTTACCAGCCCTGGCGACAACTGCACGTTTGTCGCGACAGCTTTCGGGATTTCGACCACCACGCTGACAAACCTGAACACTTTCATTAACTGCTCCGCTACAGAATACCTCCCTCCTGGAATTGCACTTACAGTCTCTGCAGCACTTACTTCCTTATCCTCATATTGCACTCGCACATACATCATTCGATCTTCCGACACTTGCACTTCTGTGGCAAACACATTCTTCAACGGATCTCTCACTTCCCTTGTGGCAAGCAACCCTGGCTTATCGTGCAAGCGTTTGTTCAAGTCGGAGCAGATTTGCCTCCAAATGGTGACCGCATCGTCAACATCGTCGGCTGTACAGTGCGGGCAAAGCGTCGCTGTGGTCATGGGAGACACGTGCGCATCGGTTGCCCTTAAATATTCTGTCGACACTGCAACTTTCGCCTCGTGAGTATTCGAATGCTTCCCATTGGTCATGAGTTTATTTATTACCTCCTAGCTACAGCTTCCTCTTCTCTCCCAAAGCTACACCATAGTCTCTATACATCATTGTTTCCCATTCATGAATCCCTCCCTCCGGTTCACCGCCCCCTCACCTCCCGCATATTCGCGGTTACTCACTTAAGGCTCTCGCTGAAATAATGTTGTTTCTCACGTGCAGGCTCAACCCAGGTGTCAACTGTAACAGCAATCTTGCAGTGGGATCATACGTCTGTGTGGCGCCAACATCACCTGCGGTAAGCACGGACAAAGAATACGCTCCACACTTCCAGGTTGTTAGCGATTCTCCTTCCATATAGCTCCTTGCTACTTGCCGTCTGCAGGCGAGCATCAGCTGCACGGTGTGGTACTGGGAGGGCGTATTGCCTCTTCACTTTCTCATCTCTGTTGCGTCCTCCCCCCGTATTTCCCCCTGATGCCTGTGTGCAGACCACCATCAACTGCACGGGGCGGTACCGGGTGATGCAGGGCGACACATGCCCCTCCATCTGGAATGCAGCCAACCTCACCATGTCCATGTTCCAAGCCATCAACCCGGGCATTCAGGTGAGCCATCAACCCGGGCGTTCAGGTAACTCCTGTCTCTGAAGCCTCACATACCACCACACACCGTCCCCATACAAGCACATCCCTCACCATGTCCATGTTCCTCGCCATCAACCCCGGCGTTCAGGTGACTTCCTTGAACACTACCGCCCCATAACACGTCTCCATCTACCCTCACCACCTTACTAGCCCTCCCCCCCTTTGCTGCCCGGGTCCTTGCACTCGTTCTGTGCCTCAACACGCCACTCTCTGTCACAGCCAGCCATCACTGCAAGCCTCCTTACCTCCCTCTCCCTTGCCACCCCCCCCTCCCCCCCCCCCCCATGCAGTGCCAGGCGCCCTACCTGGTGGTGGGCCAGCAAGTCTGCATTGACTCACCCATCCTCACCACCATGCAGCGAAACCCAAACGCCAACTACTCCATCTACACCGTCCGTGCGAATGACACTCTCTCCACCATCTCCTCCCTCTACCTCCCCCGCTGCACAAAGCTCTCCGTGACCCCCGCTGCCATCGCTGCACAAAACTACCTCACCAACCTCTCTGCACCACTCCCCATCGGCATGAACCTCATCATCCCCTGTATGGGCGGCATCGGTATGATTGACGGCGGTTGTGCAACGTCTCTCACGGTGTGCGGATCAGATTTCGTCTCGTACCCGTCATACTGCCATGCAGCCGTGAACTACGCCCTTCCAGTTTTCCAATATAGCCCGTGTGACAAGTGTGGGGCCGCATGCCCTGGCCGCATGGGGTTGACCCCGCTCACTGGGTTCGGCTGCACGCAAGCCGTCTGCCCGTATCCAGCCTGGTTAGGGGGGCCAGACTGCACTTTAGGAGATGGCAACAACTCTACTACTACGCTTGGGCCCTGCTGCAACTACCGGAAAACTATTTGCGAGAGGGAGTGCAACCTAGCTGCGGAAACTGCAGCCGGTACCGCCGCGGCCAAAACTAAAAACTACAACACATGCATGAGCAACTGCATCTGCTGCGGTGCTTACCCGTGCGGGGGGAACGCGACATGCAGCACTTGGAACAGCGCCTGCTATAATACCTCCCCTCGCACCTGCACGTACGCCATGGGGGTTGGGTACACGTATATCTGCAGCTACTACCCTCCTGCCATTCCCTTGGTTTAAACAACCACCTTTGGGGGCTGCCTGTAAGGGGTGCCTGTGGGGGCCGCCGCATCTGCTTCGTTGCTGCTTGCATGGCTGTTGGCATATGCGTGCATGGGGTGTTAGGGTGCATGGGGTGTTAGTACAAATACAAGCCGTTAGGCTTTGGCACCTCACAAAGAGGCTAGTTTTGCTGTTCGTTACACTTTCTGTTAGATACAACCTGACATTCTTTTGTTCCTTTTGCTATTGCTAAAATTTCCTTGCACACTTTTTCATTGCTTCCTCCATGTACCACGCGCTATGTACACTTGTATACATTGCCCATGATAAAGCAAGTGCCAACCTTCTGTAACCTATCATACAGTAGACTGGCCCCACCCCACACTTTTCTGGGTTGTCAAACAGGGTACGCCGAATTCATGAATAGCGAAACTATGACGTCATGTAATGAAGTTAAGAGACAGAAGGTGGCAAGGAGTACTTAGTTCTGCTAGGCTACAGTGAGGTGCTCAGTGTTGGAAACAATAAGTCCTAAGTGCGCTTCTGTCGTATCAAAATCCAAGGCACCAAGCGAAGCAGTCCCAATCGAAGCATCGAGTCAACCTCGGAGGTTAGGGTAACCGCTTGGAGGTTACGAGAAAGTCAAAGGTCGCTGACCTTTGACTCGACAATTACAGCGCGACAGTTAAGGACACACAACTGACTCATTACAGAGCAGTTGCCCGAGTCGCACTATATCGAACCGCAACAGCAATACAGTTATCTATCTATCTATTCGTATTCCCTGTACTCTTATATAAATCCTTGTATTTGCTTGTTTAAATTTAATCTACTTTGCTCTCACACACCAGTGCAAGGTCGGTTCACAATCCTCATTAAACGCTTCCGCTATTACAAGTTTCTACCCAAGAGTTCTCCTCTGCAAAGATCATAACGGCTATTTTTCAGCCCAACATGGTATGAGAGCTGACAGGGGAAAACTCTAACTTTTTGATCATTACAAGACATGGCAACAAACAAGGAAAGGAGCTCCCCTAATGGCTCCTCGGGCACTACTCCTACTCCACCGCCAGCCTCTGGCCTGCAGACAGAGGAAGGCACGGCAGCAAGACCAAGGGGAACGTCAACCGAGACCCCCACGAACCATCCTTCTGACTTCGACCAGAGCATGATGGAGAAATTTTTCTCCTTCATGTCCTTCTACGAGCAACACCAGCAGTCGGGACCTGCACAGACACACAACAGCAACAACGGAGCGACACCCATGAGCCTTGACGGGTCGTCATACGCGCGAGGGAATCAACAGCAGCAACCCACCTTCGCCCCGTACGAACGCGGGTCGATCAGCTTCCTGCCTCAACCTCCACCTGCGCAAGACAAACCAATGGATGCCTTACAAGTACAGTCGCAGTTCGCGCATGTTCTGAAACTACAGACGTCAAGACCTTTCGACGGAAAGGACTTCTTTACCTGGTCCTTTGAATTCGAGTTGATGATGGAGGGCGCGCAGATACTCGGCTTCTTCGACGGATCCCTGCAGTATCCAGCAAACGGGACACAGTATGAAAAGCAGCAGTATATGTATCAATCCATGATGGCGTATACTATTCTACTGAGAAACATCACACCAACCCAGCAGCAGAACATTCGCTCTTACCGGAACTTCGGCAACTCGGCGGAACTCGCGTACGGCCATCTGAAGAACCTGTACCAGGCAACAGACAGTGTAAACCAGAGCAGGTTAATGGCGCAGCTGACAACAGTTGAAATGAAACCAGGAGAAAAAGGGTTGGCGTATATCAGCCGATGTCGCGAATTGCGCGACAAGCTTCTTCGATGTGGAGGGTCAATCTCTGAAGACGCCTTCGTAACAGTCGTCATCGGTGGCCTCGGTCCTCAGTGGTGCGCCACCAAAGCAATTCTTCGAGCACACGGGAGGATCTCCGAAGCGGCACTTTGCGCAGAAATTCACGCCGAGCAGCAGGATATGGACCTGCAAGAAGAAAGACACAAGAAAAGGACATTAGCACCGGAGTTTGCTTTCCATACTCAGCGACGACACAACAACTACAACAATCGACAGCAACAGCCGAAGCTAGTACCTCCATTTTGTCACATCTGCAAGACATCAGGACACCCACGCACGCACTGCCCGTCTCGACAGACAACACCACAGCGACAACTGCGGCCTTCAAGCACCCAAGTTGCTTCGACACAAGCAAGCTCGACAACCACGATTCAAGCTTCAACAACCTCAACTGGACAACCTGCGCAAGGAGCAAGACATATAGTCAACTGCATGGTCAAGATAAACGACTCTTGCATAACAGAGTCACCACCCCATTACTCACCGGAAGAGGAGCTCGACAACAGGACGCCTCGTCGCGAATCACTCCATCCAAATCCGACTTACGCCGCTATCGCTCAAAGTGAACCGTCTGGCCAAGACACCTGGTTCTTGGACAGTTGCTGCGGGCAACACATGTGCTCGTCCGGGCGTTTCGTACAACGCGAACATCGACTCCAACGGAAAGTGATCATCACGGTTGCCAACAACCAAAGCCTGCGCACACGAAGACAAGGAGTGGTACAGCTTCAGTCAAGAGAAACAAATGTCATACTGCACATTTCTAAGGTACTCATCGCTGAAGGACTCGGCTACAACTTACTGAGCGTTAGCCAGTCGATGGCGAAAGGAATTCATCTGGAAGCCGACAGCACGACCCAGGAGTTCAAGCTTTACCACGGGAGAGGCGGTCTCTACATCGGGAAAGCAGTGCTGAAGAACAACGTCTTCGTCCTCGACTTCGCTCCCGACCTCGGCACTGCAGACAGCGACGCCATTGTGAACTTTGCTGATTGGACACACCCTCCGGATCTCGACCCCGACTTCAGCCCGGGAGGTTTCTGGTACTCCCACACTATCCCTGAAGCAGAGCGAACAAGAGCGTTAGCAACGATTCAACAAGAAGCAGAGACGACAACATCGGCAGCAGCGACAACATCAGCAGCAACGACAACATCGGCAGCAGCGACAACATCGGCAGCAGCAACAACATCGGCAGCAGCAACAACATCAGCAGCAGCAGGAACAACGACACCAGTCACAGTCGACGAAGCACCACCAACACCCGCGCAACAGCTGAATCCGACTCAACGTGAAGTCCACCGAAGCGCCAACCTCGTCGCCAGCTTTTACTCCAACTCCGACGCATATCAGCGTTCACCTGGACACCGCGCCTCTGAAGAGATCTGGCACGCACGCACAGGACATCCAAGCAACACGGTTTTGAATAACACGATAAGAGCAGGAGTCCTCGACAAAGACTCTCTACTTCTACCCGATGGCAGAGAACTCCAGAAGGCACGAGGGACTTGCCTTATATGTCCCGAAGCTGACTTACCTCATCGACCGTTTGCTTCACATCACAACCCGAGCGCTCCAGCGTACGCACCACTCGAAAAGGTCTACAGCGACATCCTCTACAATCGCGAACCAGGACAAGTCAACTACAACTACACCATCACCTTCATCGACGCCGCCACTCGATACGTCTGGCATCGCAACCTACCCAGCCGCGACATGGCGCTCGCAGCATTCGCCGCCTGGCTACCGATAGCAGAGAGAGAGTCTGGAACACAACTGAAAAATTTCCAGTCAGACGGAGGTGGCGAGTACACCTCTCAGCGCTTCAAGCAGTTCTTGGTGGAAAGGGGGATCAAGCAACTCCTCTCCCTTCCCTACGCACATCAGCAGCAAGGTGTTGCAGAACGACTGAACAGGACCCTGCAGAACAGCATGCGCAAACTGTTACGTGGCATGCGGCTACCCAACCACCAGTGGCCAGCAGCAATGGACCACGCTGTCATGCTGCACAACTTGTTGTCGTCGTCGTCACTCCCGAACAACGCATCACCGCATCTACTGTGGACAGGGAAGCAGGGCAGCACGAAAATGTTACGAGTTTTCGGGTGCATGGTACAGTACAGACCCCCAGAAGCACGAGCGGGAAGATTTTCGCAACGGGCACAGTGGGGACTACACCTCGGCATCGAGAAAAATTACAACGCATGGAGAATCTTCGACGTCCACACAAAGGAAACAGTAGCAGCACGTGACGTGATCTTCTACGAAAGACTCACCCTTCAGACGTACCTCGCCAACTTGCACGAGAATCGGGACCTCACCAGTGGTTTTCGTGGTGACCGAGCCTTCGCGTCAGCAGCGGACGAAGCAGACTGGGATGAACAGAACGTCGACAACGCCTCGGAAGAAGCCGGACCTCTCCCATACTGCTCCGTCGACGTGCCCATGGATGAGGATAATCCTCGCGACAGTAACATCGCCGAAATCTTCTACCGGTTCGCCGACGATGGTTATGTAACACCTGTGACAGTCAACACCAACGAAGCAGAAAGGGTAGGGCCAAATTTCATGCCCGACCCAGAAACGGGAGACGAAGCAGCTTATCCCGAGGATCCAGAACTCCCTCGATACTCACAGACTGGGCTGCAAATCCTTGGTCTCGTCACCGCGGTCCATGGCGCCGGCATTCCTAAGGAGCCTGCGACGGTTCAGCAGGCTCTGGGGGGGGAACACAGGGAGAAATGGCGTGAAGCTATGGACAAAGAGCTGAAGGCACTGGAGGAGCGCAACACCTGGAAAATTGTTCCCATCGGCGTAACTCAAAATAAAAACATTCTTACCGGGAAATGGGTCTTCCGTGTGAAGACGAAAGCTGATGGCACCATCGACAAATTCAAAGCCCGCTGGGTCGTACGTGGCTTCGACCAGGAGCACGGAAGAGATTACACCGAAACCTTCGCTCCGGTCAGTCGCCACACCTCACTCCGAATTCTCATCGCCGTAGCCGCCATGAAGAAAAAGAAATTGCGACAAATCGACGTTGCGAACGCATTTCTCTACGCACCTGTGGATGCAGAAATCTTCGTCGAGCTCCCGCACGGTTCCCACGGCGAACCCAACCGAGTGTGTCAACTACTCAAATCACTCTATGGGATCAAGCAGGCACCGCGACTGTGGCAGCAGTACCTACACGCCCGCCTCATCCGCATCGGCTTCAAACAACTCCCGCATGACCAAGGCATGTATCGCCTCACAAAAGGAGGCGATTACGTC